AAAAAAAAAAAAAAAAAAAAAAAACATAATTCATACAGTATTCCAAAAAACAACAGTATGCTTTGCTTTTCATTACCATGAATCTATAAGTTATTAAGCTTTCAGTACTGCAAATATTGTCACATATTAACAGTTTGACTTGAAAATATGTACAATTTCTACTAAAAATAGAAAATAAAAGCCTCGTCTTTAGAAGCTTCCAAGGACATTATAACAGAAGTTATATTTTCCACAATTTGGGTTTAATTAATCTTATATAGTGCAATTGATTTAAATAAAATTTTAATTTTTGAACACTATTGGGTTTACAGAAACATTGTAAAAATAGTATAATGTTCCTGGTAAGCACCCAAACTCTGCTTTCTCTATTACTAACATTTTATATTAGTGTGGTGCGTTCATTACAATTAAGGCATCAATATTGTTATATTATTATTATCTAAAGACCATACTTGTTCAAAATTCCTCAGTTTTTATTTAGTATCCATTTTCTGTTCTAGTATACATCCTAGAATCACATATTACATGTAGTCATTGTGAGAGAGACTCCAAGTCAGTCAGTGTTGAAACAGGGAATATTAAAAAAGAACCAACATAGATTACAAAAGGAAGACTCGAAGCTTCCAGAATGATTTTCTTTATATCTAAAATCGTTTTCTATCTTTCATCCTATCAGCACTCATAAATTACACACACTCATAACCTGCCACAAATTACTGGCAGATTGTGAAGGTGGAGCAGGCATGTCACATAGTGAAAGCAGGAACAAGTGAGTGAGAGGGGAGATACTACACATTTTTAAACAACCAGATCTTGTGAGAGCTCACCTGCTATCATGAGGAGTACCACGGAGATAGTACTAAACCATTCATGAGAAATCCACCCTCGTAATCCAGTCACCTCCCTCCAGACACCACCTGCAACACTGGGGATTACAGTTCAACATGAGATTTGGGTGGGGACACATGTCCAAAACATATCACAGGGGTTTCCCTATGTTGCTTAGGCTGGTCTCAAACTCCTGGCCTCAAGTGATCTTCCTGCCTCAGCCTTCCAAAGTGCCAGAATTACAGGCATCAGCCACCATGCCCAGCCAGAATTTTATTTCTCAAGGGGCTTTTCATCTGACTTGAAATTTTAGTTTAGGGATCTCCCAACTTACAAAGGGTTTCTGTTCCAAAATTTTGTTTCTAAGTCAGGTAGGCTCACTTTCCTAAAGAAAATGAGAAGAAGCCAGTCTCGAAGCAAGCAATAAAAGCCTGTTGCCTCACGGGTGAACTATGATGTTGCTAAATCCATCAGAAGTAATTTTACTTTTGCTCTTTGTTGAATGGGCTACTGTAGGCTTGTGGGGGCACCTAACCACCATTTATGTTATTTCTTTGAAGCAGGTCATGCTGTCATGTGTGGTCAAAAGGGAATTAGTGATGATAATGGGGCTTTCTCTGCCTCTCTCCCTTTTGACTGCCAAGGTCCAGGGAAGTTCACATCTACAGTGGTCAGGGGCTGGCCAAGTAGATCCCCACCAGTTGCTGGATAATGCCTGTGAACTACTGGCTAGCATCTGTTTTGAAAAACTAACTTCTGGTTTGCTTGTTTATTCACCAGTAGTTCACATAATTTTCTTATGACAATCTGGCACCTAATATAGATCCCAAAAGAGTTTAGGAGGATTTACCCTTTAGGCAAAAAATATTGGCAGTGTTTATAATCCCCTCAAAAAGAGAGAGGGAGAAAAAAAGAAAGAAGAAATTTTTTAAAGGCAGAGATAACATCATGTAACTAAACTAAATAACTTTCTATATCTGACTGAAAATAAATATTTGTTTTTTCTTTATTTTGGCTCATTTGGTAAGCTAACAAACTGAAAGAACTAGTTTTAACCAAACAACTCTAAAAGATTTCAGAATTTGAAAACTTAAGAATTATGAATAGATTTGATTTATTTAGCCCCAAAATTATCAAAAGAAGTATATGAAATATTAATAGTCAATTTTCCACCAAAACCATTGAGCTATAGAATTCCAGATATCAAAAATTCTAAGGAAGTGTTGTGTTTTAGAATCAATCATGTCCTAGGCTGAAATTAAACACCATTACTGAGTACTGTTATTAGGATAAACATCTTTCCATACTTTGGTGAAATTGGAAATACTCTTGCAGAAGTGTTTTCATCTCTCACCCAGAAAAAATAAATAATGACTTCTTCCTCCTTCCACTTAAGGTAAAATCCTACTTTTACATATATTGCATCATCCCTTGTTTTGTGATTATTTGCTTACAGATTTTCTCTCAGTGCTCTCTAAGCAAAGAGAACAGGGTACTGGTCAAGATTGTGGATCTAGGGGATCACTGATCTAGGTCCTATTCCAAATTTGATTCCTCACCTGCTAAGCTTGCAAGTGCAACTCATTTAAATTCTCTGAAAGTTAAATGTTTCATCTAAATAGGGATAATAATAAACACCTATATCATAGAGTTGTTTGAGATTAAATGAGATAATGCATGTAAAATTATGTGCCTGGAATACAGCAAGATGTTGATGATGATGATGATGATGATGATGATGATGATGTTTTTCTATCCCCAGTGCACAACTGCTTGAACATATTAGATAATCAATACATGTTTCTTGAACTGAGATGAATTTCCCCATGTTGTCTGCCTAGTGAAACCCTACATTTTCTTCTAGAGGAGATGACATTTGAGCAAGATCTTAAAGAAAATCGGATGCCTTCATCTGACCACTGCTTGGTGATCCCATGGCACTTTGTACATCTCTTCATTAGCTCTCATCTCACCAGCCCATAATTATTGTATGTGCTGCCTTCTGAAGCTTGCAGCTGACTACATCAGGTAGAATAAAATCATCCTTTCATAAAACAGTGACCTCCTTTTTTATTTGCATTTCCAAAGTCAAGCATATGATAGGTAGACAATGAATGCTTGCTCCTGGGCTGTGCTAAAGGTATCTATAACCACTAAGCCCAAAGAGTGTCATGTGCTTTCAAAAGGAAGGAGCCAGTGTTTATATCACTTTTTCTCAACCTTCAAGGCTCCATTCAAACCCCAGCTCCAGCATGAGGCACTATTCAGTCCAATCCACAGTCATCGTTCCCTTTCTGAGTCCTTCCAGGAAATCAGACATAGTCATTTGAGGTGTGTGTTAATGATCTTTCCTCAGAGGCCCTGTGAGCTCTTTTGCACGGTACAAAGGCATGTAATAGGCAGGAAGCTAGTATTTAATTGCTAGGCTTAGTTATAGTTTTCAGTGTGTACTTCTCCAGAATTATCCAATTAACCCTAACTTGAGAAGACAGGCAAATTGGATTTGCACACACTGGAGTCAATTCCTGATACGCCCGGGGTGTGAATGAACAGAGGTCTTCTTGCTGGCTTCTGTAACACTCTCTCTCTTTGGCCAGCACCCAATTTTTGGAACCATTATAAGCACATAAAAACCGCATTTTACACAAACCAAAAAATAGTTTCCAACCATGTTTCTGTGGCATTGTTAACAGTAAATTCTACTTTGAGTTATATTTCCGCTAATTAAATGAAATGAGAAGTGGGCTCTAGTCCCCCAGAAAGAGACTGGAGGGAACCACAATCTTTCCTGTGATTAGATACACCACTAAGGAAATCTGACCCTGGGCAACTGAAACCTGCCTCTTCTCATTAAGAAGAGCTACAGACTGACACTTTTCAAAGACTAGTAACTGGACACTTACTTCTTTCACAGATTATCTTCTTTTCCCTTTTTCATACTAGGAATTCTCAAGGATTATAATAATCATCAACATAACAAGCCTCCAAAATCACATTTTTTAACTTTTTGAAATGCCCTCCCACCTAACTACCCCACATTTGACACTTGCAGCCATCCTCTGGAGAGGTAGACAAGATCGACCGTCTCACTTTACAGAATTGCAAAGAGTAGCTGGCCTAATGCCACAGCCAATGAACAGATGAAGGAGGCCTACAACCACCCAGTCTTCCCTGCTTCTCCTCACTCCTCCCTTCTGACCCCCTTATGTCACCACTGACCAATGGATCACTGTGTGGCCGTTCAGCATCTTCCTGTGCTGTGTCAGGCAAGAGAACTTCTGGAAAGAGAACATCTCATGTTTATTAAGGAGATTGGGTGTCCTTGTAGAAAGTCCTGCCATGCACAACCCGTCTTAACCGATGTGTTTCACTATACTGAAGGCAAGTTGCATCTAGCATAGTTGAAGGGGGGCCAGTTGTGGTGATCTTTGTTCTTGCTGAAATATGGAAAGAAAACAAGGAAATGAGCTCATTTTCAAAGCAAATGAACATTATTTCATGTGAAAGAAAGATGAGTAAAGTGACAGGAAGGAAAAAAAGCTTAGGGTTGGTGTGAGATACACAGACAAGGTGTTAGCCCCGCATACAGTGCTGCTGGCCCAAGTTAACTCCTGGCTTTTCCCTATATATGTGGTGTGGAAAAGCTATTTATAAAATGCGTTTAAATATTTAGAACCGAATAAATCAACATTATTGGTAAACATTGACTCGGACCAGAACTCATTTCCTTGCCCTAGTCCAATGTGAATAACAAAATGAAGAATATCAGGATGATTCGAGACCAGGAATACTACAGATGTCTAACACTTCCATCTGGAATCCCCAAAGAGGCCTGCTTTTAGCCTCCTTACTGGTTGGTGACCTGGCATGACAGAAATGACAGAAATCTCAGAAGACTGGCCTCATGAATAATCTTTAGTATCAATCTAACAAAGCAAGCCTTCTAGAAATTACCTGACTCTGCAGTTCCCTCTGCTGCTTCAGATGAAAATGTTCAGGTCCGTCTGCCACTGTAGTGAAGGACTGCTTTGGGTAGTGTCTGTGGAGAAACTTTTTAAAGGACATAGTTAAAATATTGTGCTACAAACCAACTCTTGAACACCAATTGTTTTGTCCTTCCTCTCTGTGACAGTGAAAGAGGGCTGTGCTCTTGGCAAAGGCCACTGATTATCTGTCACTCAGTTATCCCCACTCTCTCCCACAACTTTAACTTCAGCTTCTCTGTTCTAGGAGATTCTTCTCACAGGCTCAAGGCTCTCCTACCCCGCATCATTCCTCCCTCTACCCCACACACCCAGCATGTGTCCAGCTAGTCTATCCTTCAGCCAAACTTCCTTAAAAAGAGGCCTTACCTCACTGTCCCTACCCATCTCCTCTCTGACTCACTCCTTAACTCCATGACAGGGTTCTGGTTTCTTTCCCTTGCCTGTTGTGACTTCCTGTGGACACAGTAAAAAACCATTGCATAGTCCTGTTGTATGACATCCCCTCCATCTTGAAATGTCCTCTCCCTCAGTTCCTATATGTTACCACACACGCTTGCCTTGGCTTCTCCCTCTAGTTGTTTCTTCCCTGTCTTCTGTGGGCTCCTTTTTGTCTGCTCACTTCTTCTTCAGTGTCCTCAAATGATCGGTGTCCTCAAATGGGCTTCCTTCCCTTCTCAGCTGACACCATCACCAGGGAATTACAGTTTCTCAGCAGTGTTGGGGCCTCTCTATCTCTATGCTGGTCATGCCCATGTGTGAGCTGCAGACCCAGTGGAATTTCCATTTGTGCATCCCATGCCCAGCCCACCCTCCACTAGTCTCAAATGCAGCTGTTCAGCCCTACCCCAGACCTCAGACAAGTTCCTCTCCTTGGATCCTCTTTTTCCTTCGTGAGTGCCCAGTTGCCCAAGTCAAAAACCTGGGAGTGATATAAATTCCCCACACATCCAGTCAGTCACTCATCAACTCTATTGATTACGTCTGCTAAATATATCTCAATTATATTTACTTACACATATGCATGTATCTTCATCTTCACTACATTTGTAATTGTGGGCTGCACTTGCCTTTCAGGGAACAACAACACTGGCCCCTCTTGCCCTTCTAGTCAGAAGTGCCAAAATGATGAGAGCTAGCCATGACAAACCCACAGCCAACATTACACTGAATGTGCAAAACTGGAAGGGCATCCAAATAGAGGAAGGAAGAGAGGAATAGATAGGAAATCAAACTGTCTCTGTTTACAGATGACATGATTCCATGTCCAGAAAACCCCACAGTCTTGGCCCTAAAGCTGCTTCTGCTGATAAACTGTAGCAAAATCTTAACATACAAAATCAATGTGTGAAAATTACTAGCAGTCCTATACATCAAGTCAAGAAGAGAGTCAAATGAAGAACACAATCCCATTCATAATTGCTACACACAGAAAAACTAAAATACCTAGGAATACAGCTAACCAGGGAGGTGAAAGATCTCTAGGAGATCTCTAGGAGAATTACAAAACACTGCTCAAAGAAATCAGAGAAGACATAAACAAATGGAAAAACATTTCATTCTCATGGATAGGAAGAATTAATGTCATTAAAATGGCTATACTGCCCAAAGTAATTTACAGATGCAAGCTATCCTTATTAAACTACCAATCGCATTCCTCACAGAACTAGAGCAAACTATTTCAAAATTCATGCGGAAACAAAAAAAAGAGCTCTAATAGCCAAGCAATCCTCAGCAAAAAGAATGAAGCTGGAGGCATCACGTTACCCAACTTCAAACTACACTACAGGGCAACAGTAACCAAAACAGCATGATACTGGTACAAAAACAGCTCATCATTTTGAGTTATGTTTCTTCAATACCCAGATTTTTTGAAGTTTTTAATATGGAGAGGCATTGAATTTTATTGAAAGCCTTTTCTAGATTACCAAGCAAATGGAAAACAAAAAAAGGCATGGGTTGCAATCCTAGTCTCTGATAAAACAGACTTTAAACCATCAAAGATCAAAAGAGACAAAGAAGGCCATTACATAATGATAAAGGGATCAATTCAACAAGAAGAGCTAACTATCCTAAATATATATGCAACCAATACAGGAGCACCCAGATTCATAAAGCAAGTCTTTAGAGACTTACAAAGAGATTTAGACTCCCATACAATAATAATGGGAGACTTTAACATCCCACTGTCAACATTAGACAGATCAATGAGACAGAAAGTTAACAAGGATATCCAGGAATTGAACTCAACTCTGCACCAAGCGGACCTAATAGACATCTACAGAACTCTTCACTCCAAATCAACACAATATACATTCTACTCAGCACCACACTGCACTTATTCCAAAATTGACCACATAGTAGGAAGTAAACCACTCCTCAGCAAATGTAAAAGAACAGAACATCAATGCAAAAATCCTCAATAAAATACTGGCAAACCGAATCCAGCAGCACATCAAAAAGCGTAACCACCATGATCAAGTGGGCTTCATCCCTGGGCTGCAAGGCTGGTTCAACATACACAAATCAATAAACGTAATCCAGCATATAAACAGAACCAAAGACAAAAAACCCACATGATTATCTCAATAGAGGCAGAAAAGGCCTTTGACAAAATTCAACAGCCCTTCATGCTAAAAACTCTCAATAAATTAGGTATTGATGGAACGTATCTCAAAATCATAAGAGCTATTTATGACAAACCCACAGCCAATATCATACTGAATGGGCAAAAACAGGAAGCATTTCCTTTGAAAACTGGCATAAGATAGGGATGCCCTCCCTCACCACTCCTATTCAACATAGTGTTGGAAGTTCTGGCTACGGCAATCAGGCAAGAGAAAGAAATCAAGGGTATTCGGTTAGGAAAAGAAGAAGTCAAATTGTCCCTGTTTGCAGATGACATGATTGTATATTTAGAAAACCCCATTGTCTCAG